AGGAAGATAGCACTTCCAACTTTCTGATGTACTATTGGAAATTATCTAAACCTACTTGGGGGATCTTGATAAAGATTGCTTAAATCCCTCTCTTATCCCACAGAGAACAAACAGAAAAACCACTTTCGGTATTGCATTATTGTTGTTAAACAATTCTATTCTACAGATGCTGTTTTAATGTTAATTAATATTAAAAGCATTCTGTCTTTAAACCAGTTTTAGTTAAAAGTCCAATTAAAGATTGAAATAGCTTTTTAGAAAACTCATATTTTTGGTGGTGGAACTGCAATGTTATCTACTGCTTTTCTTTACATTTGTTGAGGAAGAGAATAATTTTAAAAATGTTTGTAGGCAACCATCAGTCAGCGAGACGCATTGGAAGGAATTACTCCAGGATATGTTAGACATGCAGCAGAAAGTATATACATGCTTACATTCAGATATTTGCTATGAGGTGAGTTTTGTGTTTTCTCACTGATTTATGTCCCAAGGAAACTACAAATTCTCATTTCATACTGTTGCTCACAAATGTAAATGCATTTCCATGTGTTATTTGGTTGTCTGCTGGCTCTTTTATGATATCTTCATTCAAATTGGAAACTTCCTGTGTTAACTCGTTTGATCAAAAGGCTCTCTAGTAAATATCCTGTGTATTTTTTACTAGAATTCAACTTGTTTTTTCAATTGAGTCAACTTCTTGAGAGTTTGTAATTCTATGTACAACTGGTTTTAGTAATAAACACTTAAAACTAATGAAAGTAAACAATCTTTTAGCTAAATGTTACCTTCAGCCAAGCATTTCTTAAACATGAGGTTCTGGTTTGATAATATTATCCAAGATCATTATAGGATTATGGACTTTATATTGCTTGCAGTTGAAGTAATGTAATGTGAGGTGAGAAATCAGGTTTCATTGAAGGAAAAAAACACCTGCATGTGCATAAACCCCAAACCTATGTCATTAATATTTGCAAAGGACAGCTATTAGACTGATGTAGAATTTGCTGTGACATTTATTGTTTATCTACATTTTCATTTCAATATGCTGCAGTTTATTACAGAAACAATGCCATATCCGCTATAATCGGTGTTTAAATAGTCACGTTTTGGAAGTTTAAGAGTGTTTTATTGCAATTTGCAGATTTAATTACTTATGGCTACCAATCTGATTAGCTCTTGGGAGAAGTTTAGAAAGCAAATTAGAAAAAATGTTGAAAGGAGAAAGCAATGTTATTCAACGTATACATAAAAAAGTCTCTCTGTAGTTGTACAGTTTGAAGTTGCTCGAAGAGAACTGCAGTGTATTTAATGTTCATGGTTTTGTGATAGGCTATGGCTTAGTGTACTTGGAAATTTTTTTCTAAGTGCGTTTAAAAAAACTATAGTACTACAGCACTCTGAAAATAATAGCATTAGCTTTGCCTTGATCTTAATATACAGTTTTTATTAATATTAAATTATTTTTTAACCTCTGTACCATACGATTTAAAAAAACACAACAAAGGGTTCTGAAAAAAATATCTAGGAATACTGAAAATGCTTTGAAACATAGTGCTGTTGTATGCAGTTATACTTTGTTAACTTCAATATTGAGAAGTTGATGAGGCAGTAAGGATTTGCAATCACATGTCAGGTTTGTATTGGAATCTTTTTCAGCATGATGCTTACTCTGTTCTGCTTGCATGCAAAGTGAATCCTGTCCTCTTGACTTCATGTCCATGAATTTTTGAGAGGTAAATTGTACTTATGTGATCTTTAAGGAAGAAGGGTCAGCATTTTTCACTGTTCCTTGGGGATTAATACGTTGTGAAATGGAAGATGATCCAATTGTGTGATGTTTTTTAAGAAGCACTGAACTATGTTCCTTTCCGGAGATGGTTTGGAGAGGTTCTTACTAGTCAAGAAATGCTTTCATTTCAAGATATGATTGGACAGGGTGCTAGATAATCTCATCTATGCCCCCTTTCCCACAAAACGTTGGGCCAGATGATCTTTTGAGGTTACTTCTAACCTGGACTCTTCTATGATTCATTGATTCTATTTAATTTGTTGCAAAATTTAAAACCTCCGATAAAGGCCATATTGTTGCAGCTGTGATATTTTCTGAAATGATTGAATGCGTATGCTGCTCTTCATTAGGGCAGTACTGACTGTGTTTAAAAAAAAATAAATTTATTTTTGTAAGGAATTGAGATTATTTTTGAGTATCTTAAAGTGGGCAAAACTTTGACCTGAAAATAAGTTAGGTGTTTTGTGGCACATGCAGCATTATATTAGTATGTATTCTTTGAAGATAGTCTTGATTGAAACGTAAAAAACATCTTATATACTCAGTTCTAAATATTTTTAGTCTTTTCAGGAATATAAAATTTCTTCTAGTATGTTGTTTGTTTTAAGATCTTAATACTGAACGGCCTTTTCAGATTCTTTACATCCTATTAACACCTAAGAATGTCGCTATAAATAATTTCTGATCTCTAAGTCATACTCTAAAAAGGCAGTTAATAAGCTTTTTCTGCAAGAAGTCGAAATAACTAGCTACTAGTTAAGTTCAGCTTTACTTAAATTGTGGAAATACTCTCCTTGGTAAAAGTTACATTTTCTGCTTGGACTGAATATATTCTTTTGACTTCAAAGATCCTTTTATTCAGAAGGATTGGTTCCATACAATGCAGATAAACTTACTTGATGCTGCTGTAGATAATTAAATTATTGTTCTTTTTTTTAGATATTCACAGAAAGCCTTTTATGCTCAAGCAGTATAGACAATATCCATTTGGCTGGTCAAATGATGCATTGCAATATTTGGTCAGTGGATCTACCAAGTTCATCAAAAGGGAAGCCACAGTACCGAGTCAACTATGCGAAAAGTATCGAACTAGTTTTGGCTGCTGGCAGAGAGTACTTTAATTCTTCAACGAGCTTGACTGATAGCTGTATGGATTTGGCCAGGTATATTTGCAGTTATCATATATGTAAATACATATTGCTGTTCTAATTGAAACTTGAATTTTATTTTTCCTGTGAGAGGGGGTGAATCTTATCTGGGTTTATTTCTCTTCCTGTAAAATTGCCTGGTAAATGGAAACAACGTCTTTGGCTTCTGTAAGATTTTTTGGTTGGTTTTTTTTGGTTTGTTTTTTGTAGGTTTGGGTTTGTTCCCCCTCCCCCTCCTTGCTTTGTGTGTTTGTACACCATTTCTGTCTCTGCTTGCTGGAATGATCTGTTACAGAATTCAGGTTAAAGAAGAAGAAGAAATGTGCAAGTCTTTCTCTGTGGATAAGAAGCTTTTTGTGTATGTCCTTTGAACCTTTATGGCATTGAACCACAATTGTGGCCCCCAGTTACTATCACAGTAGAAAATAGAACTTTGTTCATTCTTTCATTTCTTTTCTTACTTTGGACTTTCCTGATTCTGACAGTTCATTTGAGGCTCTCTGTCTCTCTTACATTAAGAAATAAGCCAAATAATTCTTCAGAAAGGGGTTCAAGCACAGAGCAGCCTTGGAGGTTGCAATGTGGATGTTCATTCTTGTATAGATTTAGACATGGAAGTATTTTCTTTTACAGTTTAGATGCAAATAGGTAATACCCGATTATTTTACTTAAGTAGAAGATTGATGCCTTAGCTTACCCTAAGTATTTAAAATAGAGTCGTATCCTTTCAGTACTTAAAGGAGACTTATAAGAAAGATAGAGACAGACTTTTTAGCAGGGCCTGTTGCAATAGGACAAGGGGTAATGGTTTTAAACTAAAAGAGGCTAGATATAGATGAGATGTAAGGAACAATTTTTTTAAAGTGAGGGTTGTGAAACGCTGGAACAGGTTGCTCAGAGAGGTGGTAGATGCCCCATCCCTGGAAACATTCAAGGTCAGGTTGGACAGGGCTCTGATGACTTGATCCAGTTGAAGATGTCCCTGCTCATTTCAGGGGGGTTGGACTAGATGACCTTTAAAGTCCCTTCCAAACCAAACTATTCTAAGGTTCTATAATCACTATGAAAAACTGATTTAATGTTGTCATAAAATTAGGATTAATTTAATAATATTCCCCACCCCCTCAATCTCCTAGTGAGAGTCTTTTCCATTAGCAGGCTCTGGAAATACAAAGTACCGTTGTTTGTAATATCTCATAAGGGTTCCGTGATCAACTTTTATCTTATGTTTTTACAGTGGTATTTCAAAATATGCAGTTTATAGCTCAAATACTTGCTATGAATGTGTGACCATGGGTTTATTTTCTTTAGCAAAATGTTTTGGTCCTTCTCTGAATTCTCTCCAATCAGTTGTTTCATGGTAACCTAACTTATTTCCATGAGTGATTATCACATGTGTAGGTCTCCTAGTAACCTTCCTGTATGAGTTGTTTCAGGCAGAATGTATTTATCTTGTCTTTAGCTAGTTCTCTTTCCTTCCGCTCCTATTTCAATCTCCAGTTCACCCTGAAATGTTTGTCAATGTTCCTGAAAATGTGACAGGTTCAGATAGGATGTAGCTAACATACAATTTTATTTTTGATGTAAACATGTCTATTTCTTAATTACCATGTAGAGGTAAAAGCCATCTGACAAATTGCACAAATAAAATACTTTCCTGAGTTAATGTGCATAATGAATTAAGACATTTTAAATCGAGACTATTTTGCATGTAGGTTTTTTGTTAAACATGTATTAATAAAACTACATATGAACACAGTATACTAGAATGCAAGTTTTATTTTAAAAATTTATCTAAATGCTGATTATGTCAATATAATATTCATAAAACATGAATTTTAAAAAAGTTTATTTAAAATAATGTGTTATTAATAATTGTATGCATTAATTCTTCTTCAGAGCAATTTTGTGTGTTTTTAATCAACTTTGTTTTCATTTGGTGAACCTGGTTGAGGAAACTGAATTTGTGACAATAGCTCTAACATTGCAATTCCATCAACTTTTTGCAGAATTTTGCTTTTATCTTCTAGTATATGGCAACACCAAAACACAAAAGTGATATGAGAAATATTTCCCTAAATAATTACATGTTTTAAGTACATGTGTCTTCAGTGTCTTTCATTAAAGTCATTGCAGGTCTAAATTCAGGAGGGTTTTGGCAATGTTCTTGTCGCAGATAGGTAAATAAGATTGTGGCAATCCAAGAACAGAATTGCATTAAAATGTTTAGCCAACCATAACAGAGTTATCGTGCCAAACACTTACAGTGTGTGTGTTACAGGACTAGTGAGTATTTTGACATCTCATAAGCACAAGTTAATTACTGGTTTGTTTGGTTTTTTGTGGTTTTTTTTTTTGTTTGGTTGTTTTTTTTGTTTGTTTTTTTTTTTTAACTTGCAGGTGAACTTTTTCCACAAATTTAACTTTGAATTTATTCAACAATTTTTAGAAAATTTTGTTTTCTTCCTTTTTAGATGCTGTCTACAACTTATTGGAGACTGTCCGAGCGCTATTCAGGAGGAACTAGATCTCATTCGTGCCCTTGGCTACCTTGAAGAATTTGGCGTGAAAATATTACCTCTACAAGGTACTGCATATTTTTATTCTTTATATGGTTGCTTGAATTACAGACATAAACATGCATGACAAATAGTTTACTATTGTGTAAGTGTTGCATGAGTGAACTGAAGGGTCATTTCCCTGCCTCCAGACAGCTTACAGTCACATACTGAAAAATGATTTTTGGAAAACATTTTTCAGTTGATATAAGAAAGATGTCTGCATGTGAAATCTGTGTTTTGGGACTTATTTTTAGCAGGACTTTGAATAATAAGAGTACTCAGTATCTGACGTTCCTGGTGACTTCAGCAGAAATAGTTTGAGCTCACCTTTTGTTTGCAAAATAATCTGCACATAATCATGTGCTGATGAGCTTTAAAATAATGAGTGGGAGAGAGGTACTTCATGTGTAGGCAGTTTTCATATCTCCACTGGGCTATTTCATTTTGAAGTATATAAAACCCAATGACAACGGAAGTGAACTTTTACAAGGTATTTCTTCTGATGACTTGTTTAAAACTTTAAATCTATTTTGAAGCTCTGACTCCAATGGTATGGAAGGTTGTTGGACAGAATTTGGAAAGAAAGGATGATTATGGACAATGAGATTTGTGCTAAACTAAGAAAGTTCATTGCTTTATGTGATGGGTTGACGCTGCCTGGATGACACATGCACACCAAAGGCACTCTATCACTGCCCTCCTCAGCTGGACAGGGGAGAGAAAATATAACAAAAGGCTGTGGGTCAAGATAAGGACTGGGAGAGATCACTCAACAATTACTGTCATAAGCAAAACAAACTTGACTTGGGGTAAATTAACTTAATTTCTTGCCAATCAAATCAGAGTAG